GATGATATCACGTAGGTTTTCGGTGCTAGCTAATAAAAAAAAAAAACAGGCCTAGGTTACCATAGCAAATCTTCATTGATCTCGTATTGAAGTAATTTAAGGTACGTTTTGCTGTTGACACTTTAAACTGCCACTTAGTAACATTTTTTCTAAGTTCTGGAGAAAACACCGTTGAAAGCTGTAGCTGTTATTGAAAAAACGAAAGTAAGCTGATTTAAAAAAAAGTTAATAAAACAGAAAAGAGATAGAAAAGAAGATAATTGGGAAACTTCCAGTGCTTGTGAGTCTTACTCTAATCGTGACTTTTTAAATGGCGCCGAACGACCCGAAACATGATTATATAGAATCAAATTTTAGCTCAACCTGTTTTAAAGACAGTAGAGTTGCCAAGTATTTGGTGCCAGTATAGGCCGCCTCAAGGTGGACTTTATCTCGTGTTAAACTACAGCCGTAGATAAAACTAAAGTATGTTAGTTGCCTAAGCGAATATGAAATTTTATTAATATTCCAAATTAGGTGTCGAAGCTTCTGCTCGCTTAGCAAGAGGCAGAATTTACTCGACTGTGGTACTCTCTTTTAATATGATGAACTGTGTTGTTTGCGTAACGAACCTTAGATGGTTCGAAGTGACATCTTTAGCACAAGGATATTTATCTTAAATGAAAGATTTTCTCCGCGTTAAAAGAAATTAAATTGACACGTTAAGGCTTGGCTTAATTTTTTTTTGATGGTGTAACCGATCTTAAGTATCTAGTTACTGATTTACAGTTAAATAAACTTTTATGCACAAAACCAGTACTGTTGTGATGAAATGCTTTTTGCAAATTAATGTTTAATCATCCTGGACCTCCATTCAGCTTGATTCGAGCTTCTCAGCTTGAATTTGATCGAAGAAAGTAGCTAACGAGTAGCACTAAAAACTCTGACTTCAACTGCGATCGAGAGGAAGTACTGTCGGTGTTCTAGTAAGGAAAACGAGACACAATTCGCTTTTCCATATCCTCTACGTTTCACTAAGAAGTTGTCACGAATAATACACGATTATTGAGCAATATTATGACTAATTGTGTCCGGAAATGATGGTTTTGATAGAATTGTAACAGAAATATCGTCCTTAGCAACGACTTCCGTAACAGCTATAAAAGGCTAAACCCAGGTACAGTTGGAAGGAGTGTCTACGTCATGGTCATGGAAACTCTTCGGAGGACATCAAATATCTCGCAGTTACCGAACTTGTACAGAAAAAACCGATGTCTAATCTGCCGAATGGATTGCGCCTCTGAGATCGTGTTTATCCTGCTACGACTTGCCTTCGACCTATCGACATTACACCTTCGACAGCAATTTTAAAAAGTCCCAAGAAACATTCTTGCTTATTTGTATGTTTACAAAATAAACATCCCAATAGGAGTTACCCTTTCGAGTGACCATTTCCGGTGTCTATTGTGACCCCCCTGCTGATGCTCTCCCCAATCTAATGACCGCGCGCGCGCCACTTCCAAAGTGACTTGTTTGGTTTTTCAAAGGAGCAGCAACTGTTCCGGGTCACTGGATCGTCGTTTTCCTTTCACAAAAGAATGAAGGATTTTAAAATCGTGACGCATGTGTTAAATGTTACAGACCATTGATCTGATTTGAAAAACCACATGTGATTTGTAGAGTGAGTCGCGAACAAGGCGACTAAAAATAATTATAAAGCTCGTTACTAGATGTCGAGATGATATCGACGAATCCGTATCGATGTGACTCCGCTTTCTAATATTTGACGCATCGAGAGGTTTCATTCATTTCTCGTTCACGTCGTTATGGCGCAAGAAACAGAAGATTCTTCCGTAGCAACAGCAGCTCATCCTGATGTCGGTAAGTCTTTACAGTGTCTATCCATTTTTTTGTGAAAGTTTAATGAAATGAAAAATCCTGTAAGTGTAAATTTTAGGTCATGACTATGCGAATTCTTGCTAGATTTCAGAACAAAATCTTAATAGCGTAAAGGTAGAATCGTTGTTTTCCTTCATGTAAGCTTGGCCGTGTTTTATATTTCTTGACAACAAGCATTTGGTGTGAGTGAAAAGAGGTCTATCGAGAAAGTGCCAAAATGTTTATTTTGTTTTTCATGAACCGACATGGAACAAGAATAATTTATTTATGTGCTATCTTCAGCAGTATACATAATATTGTCCATTTCCGTGTAGAGGTGATGTTACTCAGAAAGGCCAAGAAGTCTGCTTTCTTTTTTTTTTTTTTTTGGTTTTATTTTTGTAAGTAACAAGGAAATAAGGTAATACACAGCAATTTCATTCCCGCTGAAGCTTTGAAGTATTAAATAATCTCTTGATAAACATATTTTAATTTATTCACGTACATAATTTTTATTACTCTCTGGTAGACTCTTTCAAGCCTGACAAAGAAATATTCAAAGTCACAATATCCTTTGTGTTTGAACCATTTCACAGAACAAAAAACCTTCGGTTTTGCTTATTTTCCATTCCGCAGACTGTCGGTTTGAGGTGTAAATCGACAGGCATTTAAAATTTAAATATTCTCGACTCACTTTTTTTCAATTTCTTGTTTAAACTTCGCTAATCCAGGCTAAAATTCCATTCGAAGAAGCGAAAAGATATAACTAGATTTTACGGTCGGGAATTTGTAAAGACTAGAAAATAAAGCTGTGATTATTCAAACGTTTAGTACCGGGGGGTAATTAAAAATTTATGACACTGTCATATTTTTGGAAGATTTCTCTTCGTCAAGGATAGAGTATTTTAAATATAACGGAGATGTAATTTTGGTTGTTTCGTAAACTCAAAATAGAATTTAGTTTCATGTGTTGTGGCATATATGAATTGAGTACTTTGAATTCGCCTAGAGAGAAAACATATTGGTCAAAAAAGCAATTTATCATTTACGTGAACATTTAAAAGGCTTTAGGAAATAGGCATCCTTTAGATGGCAATTTTTCATATCGGCAAAAATCACAGCGACCCCTAGATAATTCTGATTATTTCTTATCACTTGTTGTAAAAAAAAAAATGAAATAACTTCTAAATGAAGACTTTCATGCACTACTAGTGATTTTATACTAAACAATTTATTGTATCTATGCAAAATAAATAGCAACAGAAAAATTATCTTGTTGCCACTACCTTCCAAGCGACTTTAAAAAAATAAGCTGATGAAACAAACATAAAATGTATTACGAGGATAATGTTTATAATAATATACTCTTGGAGCCTTTAAAATTTGGAGTGAGGTCAAATGTGCCATCTCAATAAGTAAATACTTTCATAGCCATCTTTCAAAAAGCGACAAAGTTGGTTTCTAGGCTTTTACACAGTCTTCATAATTATTTCCTTCAGTGATTGGGAAAAAAGTCCTTGTTAGGCCCTATGGTAGAGAGGCTTTGTTCAATATTATTTTATAAATAATCTGCCAGTATGTGGGGAGTTTTTTTAGGATTTTAACTTATTAATTAGTAGACTGTATTGTGTATTTAATGCAGTAGCACATTAATTTTGTGATCTCCACATATTTAAAATTTTTCCAGGCTTGATCTGTGTGCTATATAACTGTTTATTGCTTTTGATATGACCTGTAGATTTGGTATTGTCCTGCTGTGAGCCAGTTTATTTTGGTTAAATCCAATTTAATTAAGTCTTTGTCTAGACCATTGGATATTCTGTAAAGATATTCTCTTTGACTGGGTAGGATTACGGGCAGATTGGTCTGGGAGTCTTGATTTTTATCACTTGATTATTTTTCATCAGAAATGTGCCATCAAGTGACAATTCCAAGTTTGATCAATATTTAATTGGAGCACTAATGTGATGTAGATATCATCATAATAGTATTTAGAGTCCCTTTCTTGTTAAATTTGGATACTAATCACACAAATTGGATCAGATAGAGATCGAGCAGGAGTCAATTAACAAGATTTTTTGAATTGTATTCAAATTATATTGAACTTGGGAAATGAGAGGAGCTGCAATATAGAATCTTGATTGAAATTTTGGCTAGAAAAGAAAGTTGATTTATTGTTCACCTTTTTTGAAAAACAACTAAGAGTTGTATTGAATTAGATGTTTTTTTAAGTTTTTTTTTTTTTATTTAATGCCTAGGTGATTCATATATGTTAACAAAAATAAACTTTTAATATGTGATCAATTCTTTACTAGGTCTGTAAGTTATGTTTTTGTATGTTTTTGACTTGTGGCACCTGTAAACTTTTGCTTAGAGGTTCAGTGTCCTAGTCCTAGTGGTCTCAAATGTATCATTTTGGCCTTTCATTTATTTTTTTTTTTTGTCGTGAGTGCAACTTGGCTCTTGCAGCACCCAGTTTTTTTCTTTTAGTGATTTCAAAAGTGTGTTGAATAAAGATAGGTGATCAGAATAAAAGCAATTTTTAGAAAAATTTCCAATGGTATCAACTCAGCACCACCTTTCAAAGAACACCATAATTACCATTTTCACTTTTAAACCTTAAATTCTAAAGTGATCCAGTTAGTAGTTCTCCCTACAGACTACCCGGCATAGATTTCTGCCTAATTTAGACACAAGAATTTGGTGTTATATCCAGAGAACACCCTCTTACTGATAAGCATGTCTATTCTCATAACCTGAATGCAAGAAAACGCCCAAGGATTGGAAGGAGAAATTTCAAATCAAAGTGAGTGCTAGTACAGCACACTTGCAAAGCATTATTTGCAGCTTCACGAGATGTGTATTGCAATGCCGTGATAGCAAAATGAAAAAAGCTACAAACTATCATCTAGATTAATAAGAACTTTTGTAAACATGTTTTAGGACGTAGGCCTATGAAAGGAAGACGAGGCCAACAAATCTGACGTTTAGAAACGAATTGCGTACCAATGAAATTCAGAGTGTGACAACGAAATTCGAGTCACGCACATCTTGAAACGGGTCGACGAACGATTTGTTTTGTTTTTGTTCTTGCTGCTGTTTATGTTAGGGAACACGTATACAAAGCCATTTTAATTCTTTTAAAATGAATCTCTCTACATACAGATATTTCCAGTTTTCATTTTTATCATTTTCCATTTCAGAAGTGATTTTTCGTGCGATTTTACCATCATTTTTCTCGCGGACTTGTTAAATTTTCCCCGCAAACAAAGGGAAAGATTCCCTACTGATTGGTTACGTTTTGATTAGACTGTAAATATGATCGCGATCTTTGGTCATTAATGCATCACACCGAGCAGGAATTTTATTTCACCATAGTACTCTCGAATTCAGGCTTGGATCCTCTCTTATGGTTTAGTGGAATGGTTTTGCTTTTCCCCGAGGAAGTTTGCCTTTTGTAATTTTAAACCAGCTGATTTATGGTAAAACTATCGGGTTTCCTTGGGTATGATGTCCGGAACGCATAACACGTAACGAGTGTGCTATCGAATTGCACTCCGCCATGTTTATCGAGGTTCAAGCTGGTTGGCGGTATGGTTTGTGGTTAGAACTGAGCATCCACTGGTAATCAAGAATGTCTAAAAAATCAAACAGATTTACCCTGTTTGGTAAGGGTTAAAATGTTATCTGGATGGCATGAATTTTTATTTCAGGAATATAGAGAAACAAGAAACCTTATAATTAATGGCGAGCCGTTCTAAAAAATCGCTTTGTTTAGATTTTGCTGAACTTATCTATACTTTCGATATTTTGAACAGGTGTACGATAAAACGGAACTTTTTTTTATCATTGTGTATGTGTGTGAAACAACACGGCGATATATTATCCAATGTTCACTTGCTGCATTTTGATTTAGCTGTTCGGTACGTTACGATTGAAAAAAGTGCGTTTAATTAATTTTTCTGTAATCGACGAGATTTGTTCAATTTGATGTAAACATATGTTTATATTGTTCTCCCAAATAACAGGTAAAAATTTTGAAGAACCAAAGATCAAAGCCATCGAAATAGCAGCCCTTTTGCAAGAAAAATATGCCTTCTTGACAGGTGAGACCAAATCGCTCCTTCTGTATTTTACTTAAGCTTTAATCGATTTCACTTTTAAATATATCCCCCATCACGCAAGATCTCTGATTAGGAATTCTTCCTTCTATTTTCTACACACCACCCTGTAAGCATGGTATGTAAAACATGCTAATTTGGTGTCATACAGCAGTACTGGCAAAACATTTTCATTTGTATTCTCTTCATGCTTGTTTAATGTCGGGTCAGGTAAACGGTAACCTTAACCTAGCATTTGGTGGGAACTTAATTATCCTTGTTTCTGTTGCAGAAAGCACCCACTAGTATGATTGTAACTTCCCCTGGGTGAAATTCTAGTTCATGGTAGGTTTACCCATCTCCCTCCTCTGAATTCCCTGAATTTTCAGCGATACCCAGAATTAATTTGGTGTAAAGAGAGAAGAACTGTAGGAGGAAAGTGCTCTGCCCTAAGAACACAACACAAGGTCTCAACATCGTACATCTCGCCTGCTACATCTCACAGGTTGTGAGAAGTCATGGGTTTATCACATCCTGGGCTTGTTTGTTCAAAACATGGTTAAAACACAACCTGTGAATTTTTTATTTAGTTTTAGTTTTGTTTTTCCATTAGTTTTGAGTCATATTGAGATAAAACTCAACAAAACCTTAGCTCTTATAAGTTCTCTTAATTTAATTTAATTTTGTAATTTTGTCCGTTTTCACTGCATTATTTGCAGTGGGGAAGGACTAGAAAGGAACATAGGAACCATTCGTGCTAGTCCACCCTCCCACCCATCCCACCCCAGGGGAGGACATCCATCACACAGTAATCTCGTATGTGGGAAATTAACGTCTCCTACCCCTAACCCTGCAGGAGACGGGACCTCCATTTATTCGTCCCTATCCGAGAAGACTAGAATATCTAACCATTTCTTGATGTTATAGAAAGGTAGCAAATTCTTCTCAATTATTTTAAGACCCTGAGTGTTGGTCCGGTCGGGGCTCGAACCCTCGACCTCCCGCACAACAGTCCAGCGCTCTATCCATTGAGCTAACCGGGAGGCGGTTAGCTCAATGGAGTTTTTCTCTTCTATGAGAAATTAAAGTCAAGTTTAACTTTTAATCAAAGATTAATGTTAACCCCTTTTGAACAACCCAGCTCTGGAGTTTAAGGCTCCCAAACTGTGTTGTTAACATATACTGACAGTATACCTGAATGGTTTTTTTTGATGGCTCACAGAACTGTTTTGTTTGGCCTCAGATTTTCATGCTCTATTATTTACAGGTGCACAAGCTAACAATGGCTGCCTTTTTGTTACTATACCTGAACATCCCAAGTTTGGAAGTCTGAGTGATCGAGACATGGAAAGAATTTTAAAATATCTTGTTGAACTGGCCAGGTAGAATGAAATTGAATTGTCAGTAAAATTTAATTCATCAAATTAATTTCTCTCTGACTTAGTTTGTGAACATCATCAAATTTGAAAAATAAGAGTGGATTCGAATATTTTGTTTCACTTTAGTGATGAGTTGGTTGAGAAGGGATTTATCTTAGTCCTGGATAGGAGAAAAGACAAATGGGGAGCTGTTAAATCTTGTCTTCAAAAACTGCAGGTTAGCATCTTAATTGTTTCCTTCCTAGATTGTTTATGGAAAATTGGCAATCTCTTAGTTGTTAATAATTTATTGATCTTGTTGTCCAATCATCTGGGCAAGAGTAGTTCTGAGGATGATTGTAATAATGTTTCAATTTTTCAACACTGAGCTGGAGTTAAGTGAGGAGTTGTTTTTTGTCAAGTTTTTTCAGCATATATAGTATCACTCAACTGACCAACAACTATATGTATGTCAGTGCACTGTCAAAATTTTTATTTTCTTGATATCCTAGTGATAGTCTCATTGTTGCTATGCACAAATGCTTTTCATGATAATTACCGGTAATAAGCATGTAGAAATTTACAGCTACCAATCATGACAAAATTTTCCTATATTCATTTGGTTGCTGTTGTTTTTTTTGCTTTTTATAGAAATGCTTTCCATCCAAAGCCTGTATAAATGTAGTGTATGTATTAAAACCACAAGGATTCTTCCAGAAGTATTCGAAACCCAGCTTTGTAGCAGAGGGATCACTCCGTGACTCAAAAATGAAGGTGGGTGCAGAGGCTTGGGAACAAAAACAAAAAGTAGAGGTTTAATAATCACTCAAAACTGACTAATTTCTCTCTGTAAGAAAACTTACAAAGTTTTCATTGAGAATGTGTAAGTAGGAAGATAATTAATATGTAAAGTAGAAGGAAACTACTCTCCAAGTGTGAATTAAAAACATAGGCCATCCAAATTTATCCAGACAAAATTTGCATTTAGCTATATAGTAAAAGATTTTTGCAATTTTTAATGCCTATTGAGCAAACATACTGAACCCAAGTAACAGGTAATTTTTCATCATCCCAAAAAGTGTGAAACTAGAGTGTTGCATGGGTGAAGGGGGGGAGGGGGAGAGTGGGAGAGAATGAGAGATAGACAGGAAAGTCACAAAGGGAGAACTTACCCCTTACTTCCCATTCCCTCACATACCCTGAAAGGATCAAAGATTAGAGGTAATTATATTTTAATTGCATTACCCATTGCATTGTTGTTCCTTAGGTTGTTTCTCTAAATTGTGCTGCTGAGTTGGAGGAGTACATTGACAAATCACAATTGACCGAAGAGCTTGGAGGCAGTCTGCAATATAAACATGTACAATGGGTTCAATACAGAACAGTAAGGACATTAATTTGGTAACATACTTATAGTATGTATTTTGATGAACCTTTCAGAGGAGAGGATAACCAAAGTATTAAATTTCACATAATTATTATTCTTTCTCTAGGCAATTGAAAGATTTGAAAGGAACTTGACTTCCTTCAATGAGAGAACTACAGACTTGAAGCAGATATATTCAAAAACAAAACTGTCCTCAAGTGTACCAGAAATGGAACAGATTATAGAAACACAAGAAGAAATGTGGCATGATATCAAGGAAGACATGGAAAGTGCACATCAAGCAGGAGTTACACTTTTGGATTGTATCCATCCCAAGCAGAGAGACAGAGCTGATGAGGGGTGCACCCCTGATATCAAGGCTAATGCAGCTGAATTGAAAGAATTATTAGTGAAACTTGAGGCAATGGAAAATGACAATGAAAAACTTTGGAAAGAACAGAAAGCAAGGGTTCAGTATGGATTAAAAGTGTGTCTTTTTGAGCGAGAAATAAGCCAGGTTTGTGTGTTTGGTTAATTTTTTTGTACATTTCTTCCCCTCCGCCCAAAAATACTTACACTAGATGACCACAAATGTTGTACTATTAGCATTAGGGCTCAAACTCAAAATGTCAGCTTTAGAAAACTCTTTACAAGGGACACTGAATTTTTTTTAAAAAAATTCAGTTGTTGAAACTAAATTATTGGCACAGTGGGTTGCAATGAGATTTAGACTGAGATTCTAGGTGGCAGCGTATGATTAATTAACCATAATTTTAATCATTATGAAACAAATCATTAATTCTCTAAATTTTTATTTTTAGACTACAGGCCTACTTTTCTCATCACTCGGCAACCTATCAGCAATGACTGATCTTGGTGACTCAAAAAACGATGCCCAATCAATGCTGGATGAACTCAAAGAATTTACAGATAAGAGCACAGTGAGTTGTTTGTTAACAAATGAACCCCAAAATTTAATTTACAAATTCAGTATTGATTTTAAGTTTTAAGTTATGATTTGAATGATTGCAAATTAATCACACTGAATGTGCCGCAATCAGTTTTAATCCATCTGATTGCCATCCTCGGAGACCCAGGGGCTGTGAGTCGATTTCAAGTTAAGGGCAGCCCCTAGGTCTCCGAGGATGTCTGATTACAAGTGACTTCATGGCCCTCAGGTCATCTAGGTCAATTTTTTGTATTAAATCTTAAAAAAATGAATTATAATGATCTTTTTGTGCAACAAACAAAATGGTTTTTTTTTTCTTGTGTATTCAGTAATTAAAGTGCTTTGTCTTTTTCATGAGGCCAGCAATATTTTTTAATGGCTTTTCCATTGATCATCAGGAGCTTCTTGATAAAGCCAAAGGTTTGGTGGCCAAGGGACTCAAAATGATAGAATCACATAAACAATCTGATGAATCAATCAAGATGAAGTGCGAGGAAATAAAAGAACTCTGTAACAAGTTTGATAAGGCAGTACTAAAGAGGGAAGATGACTTAAAGAAAGCCATAGACATCCATGAATGTCTTGAAATGGTAACTGCAGTAAACTGTTGTTTCATACTATATTGGTCTATAAGAGCTTAGTTTTAAGTAAAAAACCTATTTTATTTTATGAATGTATCTGATGAACATATAGACTGTCATGCAAAACTTAATCTCTTGGGATTTCAGTGGGAAATGTGAAACGTAGTATTAGGAAAATGAAGTGTAAGGTTAAAAGAGAATAATTATGCAAGGTAATGGCTCCCTGTCTGTATAAAAACAGCTCAGGGCTTAGAAATTTAGCAAGATAATTTTCATTTGAAGCCAGAGAATTCTCCAGTCTGCAATGCTCTCAGCACTTACCTGAATCTTAGCCTGCAGTAGGGTGTCAACTTTTTACACATCAACATGGAGTTTGTGGCATTTTTATCTTGGCAATACCTTTCCCTTATCAGGTCAATAAATGGTGCAAGACTGGTGTAGACCTTTTGGCATTGCAGCCAATAGATAGATTTCAGTCTTCAGAAGGAGCTGAGAAAGCCTTGGAAGAAATAGATAATTTCTTGAAGAGTCCACAAGGAATGAATGCAGCAAAGGTCAGAAAGATGACTCCCATGAGCACTGCTCTTGGAAACAAGACACTGATAAGTAAAGTCAAAGATAGCTTGAAAAGAATCAGTGAAGTCAATGACATGATGGCCAAACGCGAAACAAGGTAACTAGTTTTTGCATGTACCTTGGGGGGGGGGAGTGGGGATGGCAAGAGTGGTAAGTGGTAAGAGCACTCACCTTCCACTACTGTGGCTTAGCTGGGTTTGATTCTAGCCTAGAGGATGACATGTGGGTTGAATTTGTTTTCAATTCTGGTAATTTTACTCTTGATTTATCAAGCCTGTTAATAATTGAATTAAGTCCAGGATTCCCACTTTACGTTCTTTGAGAGATACTTTACTTACTCCATTCTGGAGTACCAGTTGGTACAAGCAAGCTGTTAGAGGGAAACTTTGTAATTACTGGAAGGCTACCAAGCATGAATTAGCATCCTTGCCAAGAAAAGTAGCTATGTAATGTGCTTCATGTTACAGAAGAAGACATTGACTTGGGCATGAATGGATCACTTAATATAATTGGCTTGACAGATGTGGTGCTTCTTCATCTGTATTTAATATTTTAACATCCTTTCTTTTTCTTGTTTTACAAGTAATATAAAACTTATATACATATATATCATTGATTATTTTTGTGAACTTCTTATTTCTTTACAGCCTAAAGAAACTTGTGGTAAAGCGACCAGTGCAGCCTGTGTCAGCCTTTCCTGCCAGCCAAGCTTGTATTTCTGACGAGCAAAAAGATTCTAAGCGCAAATTTAGTCAACCACCAAATTTAAAAAGTCCAGGTGGGTGTAAAAAATTCCACAATATGTGTGATATGAGAGGCTTTTAGCTTAAAATTGTGTACTACGTGACTGAAGTTTACCTAACTTGCTGCCTAGACATTTTAATCCAGCAAGTGATCACTTTATCAACAGTTAAATGATTATATCAACAAAGTTGAAATGGTAAATTGGCCACCATAACGATTACGGTGGCCAATTTACCATTTCAACTTTGTTGATATATCCAAATTATTTCGTTACCCCCACAGACGCAGCCCCAAACAGTTTCTTTAGAAACTATCAGCCTTTATTCACAATATAAAATACACAAGAGAAAAAATAATCCTCCCGCATGATCTACTGTTTATAGTTCGTATGGAAAACAAAGTACAGGCTTTTAAACAATTTTGAAAACTCAGTAAGCGAACTTTTTGGAAATATCTTAGTGAATCTGGGTATATCGAATCGGTAAATCGTAACAGAGAGGCATTTTGTGTGAGCATGCGCGAGTGGAATTGGTTTTTCGCGTTCGGTGCCATTTGAAAAGTTTTCGACGCGTTTCTGCGAGGTTTCAACTGGACGATCGCCACCTTTTTGTAATATTTTTTGAAGATGGATGAACGAGTATGACAAGTTCACCAACATTTCTAACTCTGTGGATACTCGTGGTGTTTGCTGGCTCTTCAGTTGAGGATATTTTAATGATCAAAGTGCGAACAAAACGCGAAAAAAGCCCGAAAACTTGAAGTTTGAGATTTGATTTACTGAAGATGT